GATTCCGCAAGTCGTCAGACAACCCAGAAAAACACACCTAGGTGGCTTTGATATTCATTGCCATAGAAAGCCAGCATGCCTTGCTGCCAAAGCAGAGCAAAGCAGGGCAAAGCAAAGCAGAGCAAAGAAGTTCAATCCACCCCATCCATGTGAACCAACCTCCTGAGGGTTGTTTTTTTTTCTGGAGACAAGCCCATCGTCTATCCCTCTGACTTCTGCCCAGCTTCAAGGCGAGCCTTGAAGACCAAGTCCTTCGGCAAACGACTCCAGAGATCGATGCGAAGGTCACTTGGCTACTGGTGTTCACCTCGCGCGCGAAGACGGCGCGAAGACGGGGCGAGGCCGGGGCGAAGACGGGGCGAAGACGGGGCGAAGACGGGGCGAAGACGGACGGACGGATGACACGTCGGTCAAAAGCGGAGAAAAAGAGAAGAAACTGAGACCGGTCTACGGTGGTGTTTCTTTCTTTGTTTTTCTTTGGGGGGACGAGTTTCTGCTGATGCCATGGGGTGAGAAAAACAAACAACATCCAGAACTGGAAGGTACTAGTTCCACTAGTCACCAGACCTATCTATAAGATATGGAAAATCATTCATTATATAAGTCATAAGAATCTTCCCATCAGGTTATGATGAACGAGTCTTTCAACAACTGTGAGGATCGTGCAGGCCACACCACTGCTACAGTACCACGGTGTACCAACCTTTGACGCAGGTACCTCTCCAAATCAGGGAAGCAATAAGACAAGCAACCAGGTGAACATGAATCCCAGTGTCAATACAGAGTCAGTGACGCGGTAAATCAAGTCAAGCAGGATAGTGAGTGCCAGGGCTGATAAAAGTCTAGGTCAAAATTCACCATATAGCAGCTGGGGTATGTTGCCTCTGAAGCAAGCTTCACTTTGCTCTCTCTTGAAGCTTCTCTTGAAACAAAAAATCCAGGTACAGGTTTCACTTTGAGACAAAAGGGAGCGGGGCGCAGCGCCACTCCCACTGGCCTCCACCGTGTACAGGAACCACCGGTCCTGTCGTGGTCAAGTTGATGTTTTAAGAATTGCTGAATTTCTTGGTCCCAAATACTTTCGTGGTCGACATCCGAGGTGCTGTCAGCTGCTGCAGATTCTCGCCGCAACTTTCCATACAAAATTACACCGTAGACCCCAAACAGTTGACCGCAAAAGGCCGACGCAGTAGCCCCGACTGGGAAGGAAAAAATATGAAGAATAGCTATTGAGTATTTGCCAGAAGGTCTCACACATGTAAAGGATGGCCCAAAGGAGTTGCCAGAAGGCGGACCACGTCTTCGCCCAGACGGGAGATAATGTAAAGAACTGCTACCAAGGAGTGGCCGGAAGGCGGAAGCACTAGCCCAGACTGGGAGGCGAATGTAAAGACTTGCTATTGAGGAGTTGCCGCAAGGTGGACACACGCAAAGACCCGGGCAGAGAAGATGGTTGCTAAGCAGTTGCCGGAAAGCGTGCACACTACCCCACACTTGGAGACAAATGTAAAAAATTGCCACTAAGGAGTTGCCAGAAGGCAGACACACCAGCCCAGACTGGAAAACAAATGTGTAGAGTTGGTACTATATACGGAGTTGCCGGAAGCAAACTTAAAGAGTCGCGACTAAGGAGTTCCCACAAAACACACCGTAGCCCAGTCTGGGAGACAAATGTAAAGAATCGCGAGAGAAGAAGTTGCCCAAAGGCGGACCACGTCTTCGCCCAAACGCCTCGGCGGACACACATAAGAATGCATGGAGAACGAGAAAGGCTCAAACTGTTTGGGGAAATACTCGAGAGGCCTAAAAGACAGTCACGGGCGATCGCCCGTGGAGGAAAATGGAAGACCTCCTTTCCTTGTGGCGGAGCGGGGGATGGCGGACAGCCTGACCGACACTGTTGCTGGAAGATGTCCATTCAGTCCAAGCCCTTTGTTGGCTTTGGGCACTCATGGTCAGTCCATCAGTGCCTAAACATGTTCTCAAAGAAGATTACGCCAGCATTGACCCCAAATAACAGGACTAAACCACGCACTGGGCAGAGTGGGCAGCGGCACTCTGCAACGGCACCAGCACCCTGGCTCCAAAGCACATACAGCAGCACCCTGGACAAGGACCCTGTACCAGCACCCAGGCTGCAAAGCGCCCACAGGCACCTTTTCCTAAACTTGAAGAACCCCAAGGAAGTAAGAACCCCAATAATAGCTCTCGCAATCTGGGGGAAAATCGCACCCAAAGTGCTGAGTTCTAGGCACTAGTGTCCACACGAGTTCACCCGGTTCAATAGCCCAGAACTCTGACTTCTCATTTCCTGCGCCCAATGTGGTCAGAAAGGCCAAAAAGACCGCACCAGACATTCACCTGGATGTTCAAGCATCGGTGGATGCAAAGCACTTAGTGACTTAGTGCTTCAAGCCCTCCCGCGTGTGATGTCCAAAAATGCACTCCACACCTTGGTCCTGAAATGCTCCAATTGGAATCCTCAGTCCATGGGCTTTCGCCAAAAAAGAGGATTCGAATAAGCTACACTTTTCTGTGGCCCAAAATGGCACGGCTTTTTCTTCGAGGTCGGAGAGCCCATGGAGATCCAAAGAAAGACTTGCAGATTCCGTCTCCGTTCCGTCGCTTTTTGGTTCTTAACCAACTCGAGATTGACGGAGGCTAGCGGCTAGCTTATCAGGATTGAGTTTCCAGCAGTGGGTTCAATTCTACTCACTCCTATATCACGAAAATGCAAGAGCCTTTGTTTGTTCGACTTGGGCGAATTCTTAGCATCCAAGGTGCGTATGCTCAAGACAACACCATCTTTGGCACAGAGATCACCTGCTGTTGCTTGAGACAAACGGCAGAAAAAGAAAAGAAGAACCTTTGCACCTTCCTCTTGTGCTGTCATTCTCCAGGCTCTTGGCCTCTCCCCGAAAACCTGAACAACACCCACATCGCTCCGAGAGAGTTCGACTACATCCTCCAGCAGTTCTTGCTAAAGAAAAACACCGCCACGCTCTTCTGGTCCCCAAATAAATGAGAACAAGCGAATCGCCTGAGTCGCCTCATATCCCTCTTCGAAAGCGAAGCTATCATGTCTCTTTCGAACACGAATGCATCGACCCTTGCAATTCTCATCGACCCTTGCAGTTTGTTTTCACCGACGAAGGCGTCCCAAACGAAACATTGACCCCTGATTGTCCCAAAACCAATGGTTTTGTTCATGTCTGACATCAAAAGCACACGGGCTCCTTCCTGGACTGAAAGTGAGTTTCCTACCTCCATGGAATCAACCCTTCCTTAAAAGAAATCCCAAGAAACACCTCTGGCTCACCTCTCGGATACTCTCCCCCCTGAACACCGCCCATCTTATGCAGCTGGCATGGGCATCAACCCCTATCCATCCCAACTGGTCCTCCGCAAGGCCAGACATATCCCGGTCATCATCTCAATGCCCCTGCCCCGCAACAAAAGGCTTCTCCCGTTTGAAGAAAAGACGCACCAAACCTGCAGAGGTGGCTGTAACATTGACAGCCCCCATCGAAGACTCCGTACAGGCCCACATCCTCGATTTCGACTCCGTACCGCGCATGATGTCGGCGCCGAAAGAAACGAGAGACGACAAAGGCGTTGCCGCGCCGCGCCACGCGCTCGCACCGTTTGGGGATGGGAAGACCCCCACAGAGTCGCTACTGTACCTGGTGCCGCGCCCGTGCCCAGCGCTGTGACTGAAGAGGGGGACTTGGCGAACGCCGGTTTGGAGGGCGAAAGTGGGAAAAGATCAGAAACAGAGTCCATTTAGCAGCGTGTTCAGTAATAGTTCAAGAAAATGGCCAGCTGCAAAATTATGCCCAAGCAACCACTGTGCGTGTGCATGTGTGTGTGTGTGTGTGCGTCCAGACAGGATGATGGATTTGCATAAGCCATGTGAACGTGTATGATGCATGTATATATACAGTGTGTATATATATATACTGTATAATATATGTATATATATATATATGTATATCCATGCAATGAGCACGAATCTTGAAAGTTATCTTGAGACTAAGAGCAGCCTGTGCAGCAGCTCTGATCCTCAAGATGTCAAACAAGAAAAGAAACCAGGATAAAGACTATAGCTAGGAGAAACCATGCAGAACATCCCAGACTCAGAAGTTGCATACTGTCAGGCAGCTTGTTGCGCCCTGTGGACACCTCCCAAGTCATTTCTCCAAGGCACGGGAGGTCCCAAAGCAGGTCACTTGAGAAAGAGCATTCCAGGTGATTGCCAAAGAGATAGGACTTGGGAAAGAAGAACGTCAAAGGTCGTCCATTCTCCTGTGGCCGAATGGATGGAATGCATAGAATTGACAGAATGGATGGGATGGATCGGGGATCAAGTGACCGGGCGAGTTCGGTTGGTACAGTAGTTGCGTAGCTGTCCAGCAAGAGGGGAGAGAAAAGTCCAAGCTCAATGACCAAATCAGGCCTATTTTGGTGGGCGAACCCTTCTGCCAGGCCTTGGCAGGGTTTTCCAACCTCAAACCGTAGAGTCTCCTTAGAAAGAACCTCTTAACTTGGAGCCTGAATGCACAGAACCCCCTAAACCTCCAAAAGCGACCGGACCGGACAGCGGGCCTTCAGTCGCAAGCCTGACTTCGGTCATCAGTCCTGTTGCAAGTCAATGACCCAGATGGGTTCGTCTTGATCGACGACTCCTGCACCCTTGGGCTCGCGGTTCACGTACCAAGCTCTGCCATGGTCAAGGCACAGAAGCCAGCGAAGAGAAAGATGGGACCCAGGTGGTCTCGTCACGTCCGCTTCCCAATTCTTCCCAAACGTGTACCCATAGAAGTTCACCTCAACTTGCAATGAGCTTCAGTGCCAAAATAGCTTCAAGCAAATCTTGCAGGCTTTCCCAAAAAAAAACACCTGGTCAGCACCTGGTCTTGCAGGCCTTCCCCAAAAAGCACCTGGTCAGCACCTGGTCTTGCAGGCCAACCCAACTCAGCAGCTTTGAAAAGAATTCCTGCCTTGATCCGGCCGGGGCTGATCGAGGTCTCTTCACCACAGAACTTTTCATCTGCAGCCGTCTCCACAGCCGTCTCATTGACGTCGCTCGGATCGCTCGGCTCTTCCTTCACCAGCGTACAGGTCTCAATGCGCGACACCTGAAGCGGCGGCGAGTGCTGCGCGTTTGGAGTGCTGCGCTTTTGGAGTGGCAAGACACTCCCGTTGGACAGCGATGTTGGGCCAATCCGGGGCCAAAGTGGGTTAGGGAGGGCGAGGTGGAAAGCCTATTGTTCTATACCACTCTTGGATGTAAAGCACCCCACCTCCAACCAAAGAAGGTCCTGCCCAGTCCCTCTGGGATTTGTCATGACTTGGCGCCTGTTGCGCGAACCAGTCAAGCAGTGTGCTCCGCGAGCCCCCGGAATCCCCCCCACCTCAGTGCTGTGGAAGACGGTGCCCGGAACGCTGCTGATGAAATCGGCGAATTGGATCTGAGACTTTCCAGATTCGGCCATGTAGGCGGTTTGGCCAACCACCAAGCCTGAAGAGATGGTCCCAAGGCTTAGGCTGTTGGAGACCAAGCTATACATGGAGCCCACCATGTCGGGTGGAGCAATTATCTCCTCACCAGAGCAGTTTCGGCAGCGGCATGGAGGTGGCAGCACATCTTTCGCCCAAGACTGGGCACAGAATTTCGTGGGCCCAGGATTCAATCCACACCCGAAAACCTGTAGGTGGGGGGAAACGCCGCTCGGAAATGGGTGTCCAAGGGCCGGGGTCGTATCAGCCAAGTGCCAAGGTTTTTTTCTCTAACAGTAAAGATGTTCCAAGACTTTGAAATAACATTGTGCACCTTAGGTTATAACATTGTTAGAAAACCTCAGTTTCAATAACTTTGGTTATATAAAACCTGAGAGGTCTGCATTTGTTGCACAATCAGACTTAAACATGTCCAATTCATGATCCACCTCACACCTGCACAGTCCATACCTCCAAACGAAAGACAAACCGACGCATCGAACGACGCAGATCGACGCAGATCGACGCAGTCTTCGCTCCTGATGCCAGTGGAATCGCCTCGATTCCCAGATGTCCCGCCATGTCTCCACAGTCTCATTGCCAAAGCCTACCTGATGAAAAGCTGTGATATATTTTCGCTCAAACGTGAGTCGTCACGACGAGACAGCAGAACACGGAGGATTGAAAGAATATAAACAAAAGCTTTTTGGAACACCAGTGTCCGAAGAAGAAAAAAACTTTTGGAACACTCTCCCACAAGATATGTCTCTTTCTTAGGAGAGGTTGTAAACAGATCAAAGAGATAGATAGACATGGTGTACAGACATGGATGCGCATAGACTGCACAGTAGAAAAGTAAAAAGGAAATTTATATACACACTATATGCTCACTAGCACAGTAGAATTCCTGCAGTAAAATAGAATTTCCCATGGAATCTGTCTACTAGTCTTCTCCATATTTCTGGCCCTTGAAAGGCACTGGATAACTCCCAGCCCTTTGGCCAAGTCACTGCCATGCCCTGGAATCCCAATTCAAAGCTCCTCAGCACCATGGGTTTCACGCGTCGAGTTCCCGTGTCCCCGGTCATTTTGCAGTCTGAAGCAGGTCACGCGCGGCATGGAGGATTTCAACAAAGACACTCGTCACATGATCGCATCGCGCAGGATTGGCTGTTACATTCACCAAGCATCATTCCAGAAACTTTGCAGTCTTCTTCATTGCCACAGTTGCAAATGTCAAGCCACAAGGTCTCATTCAGCTGGGTGCTGCCTCTTCAGGCAAACAAAACAATTTTGTCTACCAACCATTTTTGTTGCAACAACAAACCACTCAGCCACTCGGCACGGCACCTGCTGTACAAAGTTCTCCACCTTTGACACTCCAGGTGTCTGTCACGTTGGCTTGCAAATGCCGCTGCCCCAAACACGGTGCAAGACATGCGAACAGCGCGCTGAGAAACATGTGGCGGTGTCCGAAGAAAGGCTGGTTTTCATGAAATGGCGTTTGGAATTGCGGTTGTTTTCTTGTTTTCATGAGGATTGCTTTCGGGTCACCTCATCTGCGAAACAATAAAACTAAAAAACTTCAATACGTTTACGGTGGAATGTCGTTGGGCATTGGTCATTGCACCCACGAAAGGAAATGGTTATCTCCGAAAAGAATGAGGAACCACCTGCCTAGCCTTCTTTACTACTACTCATGGAATCTTGAGCCACAACTAACCGCAACCACAACTGAAAGTTTTAATTTGTTCATCTACCATCTGCATTGCCCTGAACTTTGTGCCCCGTCTAGATCCGAAAACATTGAATTGCAGGCACACACAGGAACCCAAATAACCGCACACATACTTATATGTGGAATGCGTGAATCTCGTTCTACGTCGCCATTTTGGCAACAGCGTTCAGTTCCAACCTGGACAGTTGTGTTTCTACTGGAGAGATGCCAAAGCCTCAGATCTGGTCAAGATCCGCTGGAAAGGTCCGGCTCAAGTTCTGATGCGCGAAGATGATGATGATGATGATGATGATGATGATGATGATGAAGGAAAGCCCCCTGTTGTACTGGATTAGCTACAAGTCCCAGCTACTTCGATGCACCTCATCCATCACCTTCGACCAGCCATCGACCAAGACACCAACACTCTCTTGGATGGCATCAAGGAAACCAACAAATCCAGCATCACTTCGTAGCCGTTGACTCGGTTGCTGGATTTGACAGTGCTTGGTAAGCTCCTATTCTGATCGCTTGATCCACGTGTCTTCATCAGTCAGGCGGCGCTTGTTCTCTTTATTTATTGTCCTAAAGACCTGTTCAGTATGGATTGTATCCTTTCGTTGCGAGTTTTGCTCGGGAGTAGCACCTACTCCATGGCATGGCCCAGAGTCTGCTACTCGGCGCTTGTCCATGTCTCGACGGCAAGGCCTCCAGTCGGCTGGACGGCAGCGACTTCGTCTCAGGTGCCACACCTGCCTGGCACTTTCAGACTCACAAGGGGGACCCCAGGGGGACCTCGGGTCTGCATAGTAGCATAACCGTTAGTTGTGTGTGTGTGTGGGTGTGGGTGTGTATGAAAATAGGGAGACCTCCCACCCAACGTGACCTGAAAGGTTCGGAAATTAGAGTAACGTAACATCGACTCAGTCAGGGCCAGTACGTGTCTCCCAGTACGTCGACCAAATTTGGATCAATTTGGAGATGTGTTTGGGTCACCCCGTGTTGTTTAGGATGGTTTGGTTTGCTTTGGATGAGCTGGGGGGAACTCTTTTCTGAATCACTGCAACGGGCTTTCAGCATCTTGATCCTTGATCATTCAGAAGTAGAGAAAACCAACCATGCGTGGCGACGAAGACCTCGCTACGTTCGGAGACGTATCTGTTTTCTTGTGATCGACTATCCGCGATTGCCTTGTGATTTGTAATCCAATCGAGATCCAGCTTCCAGACAGCCTATGTATATATGGCATTATATGGCTACATTGATCCCTTCAAGCAACCCAATGTTGCCATGTTGCCATGGGCCACGGGGTCACCCCGGAGCCACTACGGTAAATCTTCCAGAGGTCCGTGAAGACGACGCCATAGAGCGAACGCCACAGGCAGTGCTGCACTTAACTTTCATTTGCAGATGCCCAGTTGGTTCAACACGCGGTTGTGGGCTGCTGATCTTGTCGTGGCAAAGATACAACCCAGCACACTGTTGTGAGCTGCTGATCCTGCAGGAGGCACACACCTTAGACACGTGGAATCCCGTGGGTCAAAAGTCCGGAGCGCGTGCGTTTGACTGGAGGACGCGCATGTTGGAGAGAACGTGGATACTCCAAGAGGTCAATTTCTTCTTATAGGAAACTTCCGCCGCCGGCTTGCCCCCGAACTACTTGTAAGTGAAGAAGCCCAGCAGGACATGGATCTGAAGTCAGCATTTGTCCCAGCTGTCCCGCGGCAACCCTTTTTTCGGTGCGTCTGGCAGTGAGAACCACCCAGTGCTGGACACGCCGGTAGGCGCTGCAGCAGCCTCCGCCCGGAGTTCTGCGCGAGCCGCATCTCTATGATGGTGATGCTCCCAGTTGACAAAGCGCAACCCGGTTCCCCCTCCTCTCGGATTGAGATGCTCCAATGTGCCATTGCCCGTTCTTGGGCCCACAAAGCATCCGTATTTCATGGCACAAGGTGGTCCTGCGACAGGAGCAATCTCTCAATGGGACACAGCAGGCTTTGCAATGTCAATACCAGACGAAGTCTTCGTGAGCAGCCTGCTCACAAGACAGACAGGCAACGGGCCGTTCCACATTGGGTGGAGCCGCATGGCGGCAGCAGTGGAGGCCTGGACCCCGTTACTGTCCACTGGAAAAACCCCTTCCACTCTGACGCCAGCTGGTTCTTTGCTGCTGGCGTGAAGGGTGCAGACTCCATGCAGGAGGGCAGCTAACACCTGAAGGGCACCAGGCATGTTGACAGGGCGGCGAGGACTGTGAGATCAGTGGCTCTGCTGTGTGCGACATTGGCACGAGTGCAACACTCGCGGTAAAAGTCTGTGTGACGTGAATTCCCACTCAAGTTAGATCTCCCATGCACGACAAGACAATGCCTGGCCGTGGCACCAGCAACCTTCATCAGCACTTTCCACATTAGCTCGGCTTCGGGATTGCTGAAAATAACTTTGCAAGCTGACAACCTTCGAGAACATAGGGCTCTTCTCCTCAAAGCACCAATAGGACTGCGAGCTGATCACAAGTGGTTTATGCCACATGAAAGGCCGGCAGTTGTCTGTGACCTTCTCAAAGGATGTTCAGAAATTTCCTTGGAAGCTCTCGTTCAAGCAGCCCGAACTGCTAGTCACTGCACGCTAGAAGCCAGATGGCGAACTACGGAAGAGCATCCCAGCCAAACGCCCGTAGGGGCTAGCTTTCAGGCCGCTCATAAAGACCTTAGTTGAATTTCGAGGTGCCAGAGGGGCTTATAGCAGGCCTAGGGTGCGCCATCACACAGCCAGGACATTCCTTCCACTTCCATCAAGCTATAAGTGCTGCCGCTGGGTCAGGGGTAACAGGAGTGCATCAATGGAGTGTAATGCTCCCCACCAGGGCCTGAGTTGCACAGGAGGTGTATGAGCCACTCATTGGCATTCAGAGGCACAACCTGATGCACGGCGCCTCCTTTATAAAGCAGACCAAGGGGAGACGCGGTTCAGCGTCGGTCACTCCAGAGCTAGGCAGGCTCCTTCCTCCATCTCCCTCGAGCTCTAGGCTTCTTCAAGCGAGCTGCGGGAACCAACTGCCCCACCAAGAACCAGCGAGCCTTTGTCCATAAAGACACGGGCGAACTCCTGGCCAATCCTATTTGGGACACTCTCCGAGACTGTAACCGCTTCAACCTTGTTGTCCGACAATGCTTCAGCCAAGCCGAGCACAAAGGGCAACTGAGGAGAAGTGCCAAAGCGCATGCGATCGACGTGAGGCATGCGCGAGTAGACGTAGGAATACATACCATTGGAGAAGCGGCCTGGCAGCACTGCAACCGGCTGCGAATCGTTCAACTACCTCATTCTGTGGTCTGCTTGCAAGATGGAGCCTTCCGCCGATGC